CGACATTGTTCGACCCCCTCTCATGTGTTCGATCTCCTTCGCGACGACAACGATTTAAAGGAGGCTTGCGTAGTTCAGTTTGGGCTGGGCTGGCCTCGCGTCGAGGAGTTTCTCGCGCGCGCCGAATGGGTCGGCGGATTTCAAGAGTCACGTCTAAATCTGGTTGAGTAACTTACGCATCCCATGTCATATTGTCATGCCGAACGGGCTCGGATGCTGTCGGCGGTCTGGAAGTGCGGAGTCGGCGTCGTCAATTTGGGCCCCGTCAACACGCCGCACGATTCGGGGCCGATTCCTCGGCGGGCCCCGCGCGCAACCAGATGAACTTGCACGGGCGCGTTTGCCCCATTGATAGGGTGTTGCGCGGCATCATCCCCCCTAGAAAACGCATCTTTGCTTCTTGATTCGAGCATTTTGTCAAGAAGTCCATAAGCAACATGTTCATTTACTTTCGAGTCTGGTGAAGCTTGTTGCTCGTGAGATTTTTGACGGTGACGATGTATGTGATATTCCCGTCGCACAAAACACAAATTGCTTCTAGATCCTTGTATTGCTCTGGGCCCTCGTCGCCGTCGTTTCGCCGGGCTCGGTCCTCATCGCGAGCGCGCTGCCGGCCATCGTCCCCGACGCCCGCGCGGCCCCGACCACCTCGCCGAGTTCGCCTTGGCCCAAGCGGGCGGCGGGCGCGGGCACAGCGCGCGGGCCCTGCATCGGCGCTCCGAGAATTTATTCTGCGTTGCGTAGCGCGGCCCCGCGGGTGCAGCGCAGCCGCGCGATTGCAAGGTCGCCGCTGTAAGGAAGGCATGCCCGCGCCTCGCGGGGCTGGGCAGAAAACGCACTCGGGGGCGAACGCCGACAGGTCTGCCGCGCGCTCAGGACCACCGGCGGCAGAACAGAAATCAACCGGGGAAGTTTTCTCTCCTGCTTTTTGAGAACCTTCAGCGAGGCTCATGTTCGGGTTCGTTGGACAGGGCCTCGAAGCACTCGTTTGCGCGACTCGCGAGTCCCGTGAAAGTGGGTCATTTTTGGCTGCGCGGTGAAACTTCGGGGTCGTCTTGGGGGCAAGCACGCTGGTTTTCGGATGAAGTGTTCTCTGGTGTGCTCATCTTTGGGTCCATGCACAGCTTGGGGTTTTCACTTTTCACTTGGGAACCGAAGCCCTTGGCATCGCTCGGACGTGTGCATTTTTCCTTCGGCGAGGGCCATCGAGGAACATCCTTGACCATTTGGCGAAAAAAACCACGCACGAAACCGAAACAAACACAGGAAATGGACGTCCGAGCGATGGCGAGCTTGGGGTCTTCACTTTTCACTTCACTTGGGAGCCGAAACCTGATTCCGGCTCATGGGGCGGGGGGCTGTGTTCACACTGTGCCGGGCCCCCGCGGCCGAACGGGGCGGGCGCCGGCCTTGCCCCGGCCCCGCCGACCCTCCGCCTTTTCCTTCCCGAGCCCGCACTGACGCAGGGAGTGCAGTGGGGCCCACTGCACTCCCTGCGTCAATTCGGCGTGCACTACGTGCACTCCCTGCGTCAATTCGGCGTGCGCTCACTGCCCACTGCACTCAGGGCGTGCGGAAGCCCACCGAGTGGGCTCCCGCACGCCCTACTTGTGCAAATTCCGTGGGCCATGCCAGCGGTGAGTTATTCGTGTTGCGCGCGCTGTCGGGAGGGGTGGAGATGCTCCGGGAGTTCTAACGATGCGCTGGGCAGACCCGCGGGGAAAATCTCAACCGGATTTCGGGAGAACGAGGCGAGTGAAGTCCAGGTGGATCTCGCCTGGGAACATAGGTCTGGCTTGCAGTGAACGGCGTCGAACCAACGCGGACGACGAAAGCCGCGAGAAATTCATTGACAAGTCATCATGAAGTCACATCGAAATTCACCGCGGGGGGGTCATGCAAACCGCACAGGCTTGGCGGAGAATTGATGTACAGTTGTTTCCTTCGCGAATGCGGCAAACATCGCGCCGCGGAACTTTCACTTGCACCCCGTGCGGCCCTGTCCGGATGGAAACTGTCAAGACGAGTGTACGCGGCGCCAAGGCGTGAGCCATGCTTTGAAAAGAAGCACCCGCCCTCCACCCGTGAAGCTCATGCAAACTGCTAGAACGAATGTGCGCCGCGCTAAGGCGGGAACTGCATTTCGAGAACCACACGCCTTGCATCTGCGAAGTGCATTCCTTTTTTTGTATCAAGAGAACGATTGTGCGCGGCGTTCCGGCGAGAACCACACTTTGAAAATACCCGCCCTCCATCCGTGAAATTCCCGCCGACTTTCAGAACGAATGTGTGCGGTGCCGGTGCGGGAACCTCATTTTGAAAACCACTCGCCCTCCAGCAGATTGAAGAGATGAAACTCATGCAAATTTTCCAGACGAATGCGCGTGGCGCTCAGGCGAGAACCACATTTGAAAAGCAACCGCCCTCCATCTGTGAATGCTCGCGGCGCTTAGGCGAGAGCCACTCTTTGAAAATAGCCAGCCCTCCATCCGTGAAGCTGTGGTAAATGTGAAGTTTCAGGATCAGGAGTGGTGAGGAAGTCTCAGGCGAAACGCCCGGCCCGCCATGCCGACACGTTTCGGAGTGGATAATGTTGAGTTAAGTATAAGGGAAAGGGATGGAGGAGGAGGGATGATGATGACGACGATGGTGATGATGATGGTGATGGTGATGGTGATGGTGATGGTGATGATGATGATGATGATGATGATGATGATGATGATGATGATGATAATTACGACTTTGATGTTGATGATGATGATGATGCTGGTGCTGATGCGGCTGCTGGTGATGATGATGATGATGATGATGATGATGATGATGATGGCGGTGGTGATGATGGCGGTGGTGATGATGGCGGTGATGATGATGATGCTGATGATGATGACGATGATGATGGTGATGATGATGATGATGATGATGATGATGATGATGATGATGATGATGAGATGATGATGATGATGATGATGATGATGATGATGATGATGATGATGATGATGGTGATGGTGATGGTGATGACGATGGTGGTGATGGTGACGGTGATGGTGAGAATGGTGTTGATGACGATGAGGAGGAGGAGGAGGAGGAGGAGGAGGAGGAGCAGGAGGAGGAGGAGGAGGAGGAGGAGGAGGGAGTGGTCGAGGGAGGCGCGGGGCGCTCGGGGCGAGCCGGCGACGGTGGTATCCCCCTGGAGCGAGCCGCATGACTGCAGGAATACGAGCAGGACGGCGACGACGGGGACGATTCGGTCGACGCCGCCCACGACGACATCGGCGACGACGACGCCGACGCCTACGGACGCTTTCGACGAAGACGCCGCTGCCGACGACGACGCCTGCACGTCTCCTGGGACCCCGGAGAGTCCAGGATGCATCAGAGATGCTTCCTCCCCGTCCAAAGTGCCCGTGCCACTGGTCTTTGCAAGCGCTCATTCACACTACGGGCAGCGCGCCCTTGAAGGCAAGAGCCCCAGGGGCTTGCCATTCAAGCGAGAGCCCCGTTCTCGGAACGGATCCGCGCTCCATTGTTCTAGCAATGGGAAGCGCTGCGGGGTGGGACCACAAGGAAGCGGGAACGGCTCAGCGGAAGCCTTGCATTGAAGAAGACACCCTCCGTCCTTGTGACTGTCGCAGTCTGTGACAAGTTCTCAAGCGATCCCCGTTTTGAAACATGAGCCGCTACCCACCCACGTAATTGGCTTAAGATAACAGGCATATTTTTCGAGCGTCTATCAAACGAGAGTTCCATGTTGGAGTGGAACCGCATTATAAGTGTGTAGTTGTTGGAAATGTTTGCGACAAAGGTGTGCGGCGATAAGGCGTCACATGCGGAAAAGGAGCCCCCTCTCCGTCTTCATGTTTGTTTGACGCGTTTAAGACGAATGAGCGTGGCGCTCAGCGGTAAGACGAGAGCCGCATTTCGAACACCAGCCGCCTTGCGTTCATGTAGTTGTTGGAAACTTCAGGACGAATGTACGCGGCGCTGAAGCCAGAGCCACAGTATAACCATTTGTCGCCTTCCATCCGTGCAACTTTTGGGAGTTTCAAGCTTCATAGTTGAATTTTACAATCTGGTCTCAGGCTCACCGCCGGATGAGGAGGAGGAGGAGGAGGAGGAGGAGGAGGAGGAGGAGAAGGAAGAGGAAAACGAGGAGGACGACGGGGGCGATGAGGTCGATGCCGCCAACGACGACGACGTCGGCGTCGTCCTCGTCACCCTCGCCGTCGCCAATGCCGTTGCCGTCGCCGACTGACGCCCTCGACGACCATACCAATGCCGACGACGACGCCCGCAGGTCTCCAGCTCCCCTGAAGGCACCCTGGCCTCTGGAGCCTCTGGAGGCCCAGAGGGGGGCAAGGAAGGGCCAGGGTGCCCAAAAGCCTGTGAACGCGACGGCCACGTGGAAAACCTCCGAACACGTCCGAAGACCGAAGACCTCCGAGAGCCGCCCGACAACTCTCGAGAAGGACGACTGCGATGGCGCCGCCGGCGACGCCAGCGGCGTCGGTCCCCTCGGAGGTCTTCAGCGAGACCCCGCCGCCTGGGCCGTCGGTGCTCCTGGGGAGGGGAGAGACGGCAGAGACGGAGGCCGGCAGAGACAGGGAGGAGGAGGACGATGAGGTGGAGGAGGGTTAGCGTCGAGCCCCAAAGCCTGAGCTTCGGGCCGCGGCAGCTAAGAAGGGAGACCCGACGAGGGGCCCGGAAAGCGAACACAGGAGGAGGAGGAGGGGGAAAGGAGGGAGGAGGAGAAGGAGGAGGAGGACGAAGGGAGGAGAAGAGGAGGCAAGGGTGGAAGGAGGAGGAAGGGATGGAAGGAGGAGGAGGAGGAGGAGGAGGACAAGCGCCACAGATTCGCGCTCAGGTTGGTCTAACAAAACGGAGGAGGAGCAGCAGCAGTGCTGGAGCAGGAGGACGAGCACGATGTAGAGGAAGAGGCTTGGGAGGACGAGCAGGAGCACCAGCAGGAGCAGCGGCGGGCGGCGGCGGCCCCCCGCGGGGAGGTCTTCAGCGACCAGCCCCCGCCGGGCGTGCCCGGCGGAGGTGCGCCGCTGGCGGGCGGGCCGCCTGGGCCCGGGGGCATGGCTGGCGGTCGCCGCCTCAGCAGATCGTCGTCGCCAGTGGTCTCGAAGAAGAGAGGGCCTCCAACGCGGTCACAGGGGTCGACGAGGGGTCGGTCCTGAACATCCCGCGGATGTTGCCCTCTGGTCCCCCTCCTCCTCCCTCCTCCTCCTCCTCCCTCCTCCTCCTCCTTTTCCCCCTCCTCCTCCTCCTCCTCCTCCTCCTCCTCCTCCTCATCCGAAATGGCCACCCCGGGGGGGGGATGCTGGCCCAGGGGAGGCAGCACCGGCCCCCCATTTCCCATTCCTCGCGGATCGGGGCCTTCGTGGCCTAACCTGCAGCGGAAGCGGGTGCTTCCCCGTCGGGGGCCAATCGCCGATCTGTCGGCGACGCATCGTCGTCTTCAAGTCATTCAGGCCTCGGAACACATTCATCTGTGAACGCCTCCCCCTCCCCCCAATGTTCAAAGTTGGCGGTGGGTCTGATGAGTCGCACCTCGACCGCAGTCTCCTCCGCGCGTGCCAACCTTGAGTTTGGGGGGCAGGGGGGGTGTTCACTAATTGTTTCCCTCTACCGTTGCTCCTCCCTTCCGGCCCCCCGCACACTGGAGGCCATGAGCGGCCGACATGTGAGCGACGGAAGAAGACGGGGTCGATTGCGCCGACGTTCGCGCGCAAGCTTCCCGCGTAAAGCCGCGCGTAAGCGCCCTCTCTTCACGCGGTGTGCCACGCTGGCGGCCCGCGTGAACGGCGGCGTAAGGTCGCTATGTCATCACGCGTGAGACCCGTTGCTTTTCGTCGCTCATGTGGCAGTGGTATGTTGGGTGCGGTCGGTGTTGTCCACGAGAGAACATTGCCAGAGTTCAGCCGCTCCTGGTCTACCAGTGATGGGCCTACGATAGGGCGGCGGCGGTGACGGCGGACCTCGGCAAGCGCGGGTCGGATCGGGATGGGCTGCCGAGGCGGCGGCGGCGGGGGCAACATCATGTGCGCCAACCACAATAAGATGAGGACCTCTATGGGGGGAATGTGTGGGAGGAGGAGGAGTAGCAGGAGGAAGAGGAGGAGGAAGAGGAAGACGAAGAGGAGGAGGAGGAGGAAGAGGAAGACGAGGAGGAGGAGGACAAGGAGGAAAAGGAGGAGGAGACTTAGGGGTGAGGGAGGGAGGGAGGGAGGGAGGGAGCAGGGAGGGAGGAGGACTAATTAGCAGAAGGATGAGGAGTAAGGGCAGGGTGACGATTTGATATGACATGATCTGGGGAATGGAGGGATGGATGATGATGATGATGATGATGATGATGATGATGCTGATGCTGATGCTGATGCTGATGCTGATGCTGATGCTGATTCTGATGACGATGATGATGATGACAGTGATTATGACGATGATGATGACAATGGTAGTGATAATTGTAGTGATAATGATGATGCTGATGATGATGGTGATGTTGATGGTGATGATAATGACGAGGCTAATGCTGATGCTGATGCTGATGCAGCTGATGATGATGAGATGATGATGCTGCTGATGATGATTATTATGATGATGCTTTTGCTGCTGCTGATGATGATGATGCGGATGCTGATGATGCTGATGATGATGATGATGATGAGAAGGAGGAGGATAAGCAGGAGGAGGAGGAAAAGGAGGTGGTGAGCATTACGATGAGGATGAGGATGAGCAGGGTGAGCATGGGGATAAGGATGAGGACGAGAATGATGAGGATGGGGATGTGGATTTGGAGGATGATGATGAGGAGGACGAGGATCATGATGATGATGGCGATGATGATACTGATGAAGCGCATGGAAGGGGATAAGGATGATGATCATGTTTTCGAAGATGATGATGATGATGATGATGATGATGATGATGATGATGATGATGATGATGATGCTAATGATGCTGATCATGATGGTGGTGATGATGATGACGATGATGATGATGATTGATGGTGGTGGTGCTGAGGATGATGAGGATGATGATGATGGTGGTGGTGATGCTGATGCTGATGCTGATGCTGATGATGATCATGATGGTGATGCTGATGATGGTGATGATGATGATGATGACGCTGACGCTGACGACAATGATGATCATGCTGATGACGATGCTGCTGATGATGATGATGATGATGATGATCGTGATGCTGATGATGATGCTGATGATGATGATGATGATGGTGGTGCGACTGCTGCTGATAATGATGGTGATGGCAATAATGGTAAGTAATGCTGATGATGATGATGATGATGATGATGATGATGATGATGATGCTGTCGACGAATCTGATGTTCAGTATGATTGTTGTGGTTGTGGTAGTGATGATGAGGATGAGCATCAGCGTTGCCATGATCATAGTAACTGTCTTGATCATGTTTATGATGATTGACGGTGGTGGTGTTGATGATGATGAGTTCATCTGATGATTATGATGTTGATGCTGATGGTGCTGATGACCCTGCTGATTTGAATGGTAATATTGATGATGGTGATGGTGATGCTGAAGATGATAACGATGGTGATGATGATGCTGATGATGGTGCTGCTGCTGCTGCTGATGATGATGATGATGCTGGTGCTGATGCTGAAGATGCTGATACTGATAATGATGTTGAACATGTTGCTGCTGATGATGCTGATGATGTTGATGATCAGGATGCTTATGATGATGATTATGATGATGTTGATGATGATGATGCTGGTGATGATGATGCTGCTGATGATGATTTATGTTGTTGATAATGATGATGCTGATGCTGATGATGATACAGATTATGATGATGATGATGATGATGATGATGCTAATGATGATGAGTATGATGATGATGATGATGATGATGATGATGATGATGATGATGATGATGGTGGTGGTGGTGGTGGTGATGATGATGATGATGATGATGATGATGATGATGATGATGATGATGATGATGATGATGATGATGCTGAGGAGGAGGAGGAGGAGGAGGACGAGGAGGAGGACGAGGAATAGGAGGAGGAGGAGAAGCAGGAGGAGTACCAGGAGGAGGAGGAGGCGGAGTTTGAAGTTTTCCGGGTGTTCGTTCTGGGGGATCTGACGGCGTTCCCGACCGTATGATCCTCGTCGTTCGTCCGTCGCGCGTCGTTCGTCCGTCGCTGTCGTCGTCGTCGCGTCGACCGCCCCCCTCGCACTTCCCCTTTTTGGTGTGCCGCCAACGCAGAGTCGCAAGAGCAGCCGGCCGCGAGCCTCCCGACCGTCCTTCCGAGGGCCCCCGCCCTTCGAGGGGGCGCCCACTATTGCCACTGGTGGTAGTCACAGACTTCATCCGCATTCGGAAGAAATATCATGGAGGGAGGGGGGAGCACGAGGAGTACGAAGAGGCCCCCGTGCGATCGCTGACCCCCTCGCCAGAGCTGGGGTCGTGCTCTGAGCTCGGAGGCTCGGCGGAGGGGCCGCCCTGCCCACCCCCCCGCCCTCCTTCCCCGCGGGCTCTGAGGCCTCTCCCAGAAGCCCCGATGCCTGCCCCAGAGGCTCTCATCGGAGGACGAAGACGAGGTACTGATGCCGCTGCCCTTGCCTCGCTTTCGCTTCTTGATGGCCTCCTGAGGGGCCCTCGTCGCCACCGCTGGGTTCGCTTCGAAGTTCTGGTCAGAGCGCACCCCGGGTGAGGTCCGGGGAGTATGAGAAATAAACTACTGTTGATTCTATGATGTTGCTGCTGATGATGATGGAGATGACGATGATGACGATGATGATGATGATGGTGGTGATGATGATGATGATGATGATGATGATGATGCTGATGCTGATGCTGATGCTGATGCTGATGATGATGATGCTGATGCTGATGCTGATGCTGATGCTGATGATGATGATGATGATGCTGATGATGATGATGATGATGATGATGATGATGATCATGATGATGATGGTGGTGGTGGTGGTGATGAGGAGGAGGAGGAGGAGTTGGAGGAGGAAGCGGAGGAGGAGGAGATGGAAACTACTGTTGATTATATGATGCTGCTGCTGGTGATGGAAATGATGATGATGATGATGATGATGATGATGATGATGATGATGATGATGCTGATGCTGATGCTGATGCTGATGCTGATGCTGATGCTGATGCTGATGCTGATGCTGATGATGATGATGATGATGATGATGATGATGATGATGATGATGATGGTGGTGGTGGTGTTGATGATGATGGGGATGGGGATGGGGATGATGATGAAGAGGAGGAGGAGGAGGAGAAGGAGGATGATGACGATGGTGATGAGGACGGGTGGTGGTGAGGACGGGTGGTGATGATGATGATGTTGATGCTGCTGCTGATGATGATGACGATGCTGATGATGATGATGATGATGATCATGATGATGGTGGTGGTGGTGGTAGTGGTGGTGATGAGGAGTTGGAGGAGGAGTTGGAGGAGGAAGCGGAGGAGGAGGACGAGGAGGAGGAGATGGAAACTACTGTTGATTATATGATGCTGCTGCTGGTGATGGAGATAATGATGATGATGATGATGATGATGATGATGATGATGATGATGATGATGATGATGATGATGATGATGATGATGATGATGATGATGATGATGATGATGATGATGATGATGATGATGGTGGTGGTGGTGTTGATGATGATGGGGATGGGGATGGGGATGATGATGAAGAGGAGGAGGAGGAGGAGAAGGAGGATGATGACGATGGTGATGAGGACGGGTGGTGGTGAGGACGGGTGGTGATGGTGGTGGTGATGACGACGATGATGATGACGATGATGATGATGATGATGATGATGATGATGATGCTGATGCTGATGATGATGATGTTGCTGATGGTGATGATGATGATAATGGTGACGACGACGATGACGATGACGATGACGATGATGATGATGATGATGATGATGATGATGATGATGATGATGACGATGATGATGATGATGATGATGATAATGGTCGTGTTGATGATGATGTCGGTGATGATTATAATGATGATAAGGATGATGATGGTGGTAATGGCCATGTTCAGGGTCATTGTCATTGTGAAGGCGATGTCGATGGTGATAGCGATGGTGATGATGATGCTGCTGATGATGATGGTGGTGTCGTTGATGATGATGGATACTGTGATGGTTGTGATACTGGTGCTGCTGTTGCTGCTGATGATGATTGTTATGATGATGCTGATGCTGCTGCTGTTAATGATGATTCGTTTGAAGAGCCCCAACATTTCTTAGATGTTTTTATGCTGCTGTTTGTACCGCACGGTCTCGAGAGACGAAGGCTGCTGGATGCACTGGCATACTCGGGACGCATCCTTTGCCATTCGCAGCGTTGCACCATTTTAGGTTTCAACGGTTGGCATTTTTCCTAATTTTGCTTTCCTTGCGTTAGTAGCCTGGCTGTAGAGAGTCGCGACCCGCTTCTATCCGATCGATCTGGTTCGGTATCGATTTCGGCGGACCCGATCCGATTCGGTGCCGCGATTTCTCGACCAGCCGATGTGGCCCCATGCTTGCATGGCGCTCTTGTGCATCCTGGCGCGGCCGATCCAATTCGATTCTGACTCCATCCTGATGCGGCCCTATCAGATTCCATGCTGACCGCTCCTGCCTTTCAAAAACCCCGCCCCAGACTGCCGGCGCTTACACGAAACAAATCCGGCACTCTTCGCAACTTTCGGCCTCCAGGAGCCGCTTTGTTGGGCCTGTCAGAAAAAAAAGGTCTGGGGCGCAAGAGCGAGTCCTGGGAAGGGTTCGAGACTCTGTGGGTGCTCTGCAGACGGAAGACGTCGACCCGCCGGCCCTTCGCCCTGCCCCCAGATCGTCGCTATTCGGTCGGTCGGTCGATTGCAAAAAAACCCTTCTTTGAACGAAGGATTGCAAAAAAAACCTTCTTTGAACGAAGGTCGGGTTTTTTTTGCAGTCCTTCTTTTTTTGCAATCCTGCGTCGAAGATGAAGCAACTCCATAAACATAAACTTTTGGAGCTCCGCGCAGATTTCTTGGATCTGCGCTGGGATCTGCGCTGGGCCCTCCTCCCTGGCGCGCGGAGCGCACCAGGGGCGGTGCCAGAGGCGCCGCCAAAGGGGCCCAGCGCAGATCCAGGAGTTCCACGCGGAGCCCCGAGAGTCAAGCTTTGTGCAGGTTGTTCTTCTGATAGGTCGGTCGTCGCCCCTCGTCCTCGGGTCGGTCGATCGGCCCGTCGGGATCGACGGCGCGCTGCAGGGGCGGGCAAAGGCAAGGAGGGCGGACTGAACACATCGACCTTTCGCCCCGCCCCCAGGTCGTCGTCGATCGGTCGATCGGTCGTCGTCCATCGGTCGGCGTCGTCGTCGGGTCGGACGTCGGTCGGTCGGCGTCGTCGTCGGTCGGCGCCGCCCCCAAGGAATGCCAAGTACCTCACGCTCGATGCGCAGGGGCGCCGGGCCCGCCGCCCAGCAGCCGCCGCGGCCGCCTCTGCGCGCCGTCGGTGGTTCGGCGGCGCGCGATCGCCGACGCTCCGCGTGGCCGTCGATCCTCCATCGAGGACCGAGTATCGATCCTTAGAAGAAAACGAGATACCGACACCGCTGCCACTCCCTCGCCGCCGCGGCCTGATTCGTCTCGAAGTGCTGGTCAGAAGCATACCGGTAACTTTTTGCCCCCCCCAGCTCGAGGATCCAGGTTCCTTGGGGCAGTTTTCGGCTCGCTGCCTCATCGTCCTTTTTCCCATCCTCATGCCTCCTCTTGGTTCTGCTGCTGCTGCTGCTCTGGTCCTGATGCTGCTTCTTCTCACGATCTTCCTGTTTTCTCTCTCCACATCACCCCACCCTCGCTGCCCCGGAGAGGTCTGCATGCCAGGCTACGAGTGCAAGGGCCCCGGGGCTGGGGGCTTGCAGCCGGCTCAGACGCAGACGATGCCCTGCTTCCTGCACGGCAAGATGCGCAGCCTCGACAGCTTGGTGCACGACGGCGCAGGCACCGTTGTCGACCGTTTCTCCTTCGTGTTTTATATACAAAACATGTACAGAGGAAAGAGAGATACACATACATGCAACTATACGCGCCTATACATGTGTGTGGGGGGTATATACAGTTATAGCTATAACTAGAACTAGAACTATACCTATGATTATACGTTATTATAGATAACCATATGTGTATATATATATATACGCATATAGATAATAGATATAAAGACGGAGAGAGGTATTATTTGACATTTGCCGTGCGTGCTACTCTAGTGTTGCGAGTGGGCTCGTCCTATGGGCCTCCTGGGGCCATTGTGACGCCGCCTGGGGGGGGGCTTTCGGGTTTTCTCAGGGCTCTCTTGGACCGTCTGGGGTCCTTCTGGGTCGTCTTGGGAGTCTTTGGGGGCCTCCTTGTGTTCCTCCTGGGCCCTCTTGGGAGCCTCTTGGGCCCTCTTGGGGCCATCTTGGGTCATTTTGGGGTCGTCTTGGGCCTTCAGGAAGCTGCGTTGGGCCGCCTTACGGCCCACTTGGACCCTCAGGAGGCACTAGATTTTGAATGGATGTCACATGCGAGATACGAGCGACGCGCCCATGTTCGACGCCGCTTGGGCTCAAGCGGCGCCGCTCTATTTGACTGCCCCAGCCTTGGGGCACCGTCGCATCCGAGTGACGGAACAGGAGACGATGCGCTCTCGACTCCCATGTCTTATCTCTCGCCTACCCGGTCATACTTGCTGTGAGGTACAATCGTACGCCTAGGCGCAGTCTATGGTACGGCTTAACATGCCCCTTTCGACCTCAACAGGCCGGTCTCATAGAGTTCCAAGCATTTGGGTACGCTTTTGGGCCCCCACAGGGGGTTTACCACTGTGGTCCGCCGATGTTGCGCGACTCCAGGGGGGGAGGGGGGGAGACATAATAATGTAAGAGAAATGATCGGTAGCACTTCTGTAACATTGGATACCTTGGACTCCTTGCGTTACGACGCTCGCCAGAAAACGCTGCCGCTCAGCACGTCACCTCCGAACGTGGGTTCATGAGCTTACGCCGCACGCCGCACCGCCGACCCCTTGGGAGCCTTGGGTGCCTGTATTCTCCGGAGGTGGACAGACCTCCTACCCTAACACGTCGATTCAGGAATTGGCCGTTTTCGGTTCGCGAGAGGGCGTCGCGGCCGTCATTTTTGCGGGTCCAGGTCCGTCGATTTCGGCCCTAGGTCGTTTTCACTCAGTGGAGGTTTACTAAAGGGAGATTTGTCCACCGCCGAATTCTGGGGGGCGTTTTCGAAGAAGCGTGTTGGCGCCGTGCGTCCCTCCTAAGAAGTCAGGCAAGGCGCCCACACGGCGCATAGGCAAATTAGGCGGCTACGAGTACGCCAAACGCGTCTGCCATGCAGTCCGCCAAACGCGCTGCCATCTGCAGGGTGGAAGAGCGAGGGAGGCAACCCTATTGGGATAACACGTGCTGATATACAGAAGGTGCCCACTGCACTTTTGAGTGCCCACGCCTGCGATGATGATACCACTTTTTGGGACTTCGCGCTCCAGGTTCGCACACAAGCTTTCGTAACAAATCGTCTGCGGGTAAATCTGCGATTCTGCCATACAGTTTGATTTGTCTGCAAAGTAAGTCTGCGCCCAATGGTTGTGCTTTCGCTCTTCCTCGTACTTATTCGTTGGACACCCTGGAGTAATACGCATGGGGCACCTTCAATATTTTTCTCAAGCATGCTGTTTGGAAAGCATCAAATCGGTTACGATCCGCCTGAAGTAACCAGAGTGATTCCAGGTTGTATAACAACTTTGGGAGCACAATAGCTTGAAATAGATGTATCTTGTGGTGCAATGTGATGTTCGCGTGGCTCCAACATGTTGCCAATGATTGGAATACCCGTTTTGCTTTTCCAATTCTTCTGGTAACCTCCGGCCTGCTATCCATTCTCGTATTTAGCAATCCACCCAAATAAACAGTTTGTTCCACGAGTTCCAAACACTCTCCTGACGGGGCGTACGCACGACCACTGTTTCGCACTTGCATCAGGACTGTTTTCTTCCAATTTAGCTCCAATCCATCTTTCTTGTCCTCCTCGATGATAAGATCAAGAAGTGCTTGTAACTTCCCGGCGCTCGCGCTGAGAAGGACCGTGTCGTCCGCATACAAGGTATCACTGCATACTGTGTAATCGGGCTCTGTGACTTCAGCTGCCCTGTCGCGCAATGCTTCGTCAATATTGAACATCATCACGGTCTGCACGATTATTAACAGGTAAGGAGACAAAGGGCAGCTTGGCGCGATCCCTCCTTTTTGGTCTCGTAAGGAAGAATCGCCGCGAGGATCATTGAGATAGAACTTTCGTTCGTCATACGTTACTTTTATCATTTCTACCATCTGAACCCAGATACCAAACCTGGCAAGAGCTGAGAACCTTGCGTCGTGTTTGATGCGGTCAAACGCTTTTGCCCTATCTAACAGTACTTCCAGAACGCCCGATTCATCTGCAGCGTACGCAGCATCGAAGGTCCGACGTGCACTTGAGATTGCATCAATTGTGTTGCGTTTGGGACGGAATCAAAATTGCGTCGGCCTGATGTGCTCTTCCGCCCAGCCTTGAATACGTTTTTGCAGCATCCATGCCAATACTTTGTATCCCGCTGTTAACAGAGAAATTGGGCGGTAGTTTTCTGGTAATCCCGCATCGCTTGTGTGCGAAAATAGAACCCTCGCAGTCTTTCATTCTTTCGGCAAGCGTTTTTGTTTGCAGCTGTCCACGCATAGGGATAACAAACACGAGCATGTATCTTCCGACGCAGAAAGAAGTTTCCAGAATTTTGGGTGTATACCGTCAGTGCCTGGTGCTTTTGCGGTTGCGAACGCCCGTAAAGCTTTCTGTAATCCTTCCATTGTGAACTCGTCTGTGTTGATCGGCAGAGCATTCCCCATAGTAAAGTTCCCCATCTGGCAGCGCATCTGGAAAATTGATGTTCCATTGTTCGTGTTCGAAATAATTCGCTAAGACGTTTGCCCTTCGATTGCTCTCAACGACCTCCCCGTCGGCATTTGTGATTGTAACTGGCATTTTCGCCAGAGTGTTCTTCAGCTCCCGCACAGCTTTCCACGACCCCCCAACCAGTGTAGATTCCAACCATATTCGTTTGTCTCGCCGTACTGCTTTCTTGATTTCTTTGTTGAGTGCACTTTCTTCGCAGCTGCCTTCCCGTCGTGCTCGGTCACGCTCTGCGAACAAAGCAAAGCAATTGTAGATCCCGTGATCCATGGTTGGTGTCGTCACGATTGAGTCCGCGGTGCAACCTTGGACGCTTCCAGCATGCCGTCCGCAACTTCCCCGGCTGCTTGGTCCAATGCTCCTGGCGTGGGTGATGTAGTGAATGTTTCGACGTAGGCGTTGCCAGATTCGTTCTCCATTTTTGGAGGCCCCCTCAGAGTAGCAAGGCAGCGCGTGTGCTGATGCTCTCTTTGCGACGCCGTGCCGAATCGAACATTCAATCTCGTGAGTACCACGAAGTGTCTGGTAGACAGGGGTGCTGATCGGTCACTCCAGATGTCTTCCACCATGCCCGCCTGCGCCGCTCCAGCCAGACAGAAATCGATGCGTGCAAAATGTTCCCCAGAGGGCGGGCTGCTTGCATCCATCCCCAGGGCGGGCTCGCAGTAGGTCATTTGGCTGTCTGCCGCTTGCTTGAAACATGTGTTTCCGATGATCGATGTGGCAGCCTTGGAGGTTTCCAACAACAGTTCTTGGTTGGATAGTTCTCGGCGGGAGCTCGGCTTAGATTCGAACATGGTCTCCGATAACATCTTCTTCTCCTGCTTCTCGCTTGTGTAGCCTAGCGTTGAAGTCTCCGTACCCCAACGTGCATTATGCTCTTTTGGTCGCTCCCAAGCCTTTGTGAAACCATCGAATAATAGTTTCCGAAGTTCGTAATCCTTACCAGAATGAGGAGCGTATCCGCAAAGCACGTTCGCTGCACCACTAGATGTCTTGATCTTCAGCGTGGCGAGCCGGTCTCCGAGCAAGCAGAAGTTGATGATGGATTGGACGTCATACAGCGAGATTAGAATCCCCGCTCCAGACTCTAGATAACCAGCATGTTCTTCTTGTGTGCCAGACAATATCACCATATACCCATTTCGCATGAAATGGCGCGACTCTTTACAATGTGTTTCTTGCATGCACAGGACAGCGATGTCTAATTGGACCATGTGGTAAAACATGTCATCCAACTTCATGTAATCTTTACGCAAGCCTTGGACACTCCATGCTGCAGTAATATGTTGGCATAGTGGTGTGCATTTGCGCTTTGGGCATCCCCACTTTCCTGGACTCGTTTGTCGCCAACGCTCCGTTCCAGATGTGTGGTGCATATTGGTATCAACTTGTTTGAAGTCACCCAGACTGTCGGTATCTTTGTTCTTGCTGTCCGCGTTGCACATGTCAATGTCGATGTTTGCATGTTCTGCGCGTGCGGAACGGAGTACAGGAAGCGAGGCAGCTTGAGAATGAGGATGAGAGCTTGCGCCTCCATGTCTTTGTCCGCGTGTGCGGCTGGAGGGCGGAGATCAGGTGGTAGAGCAGGTGGTAGCAGAACAGTCCTAAAGAAAGAAGAGTATGGAGGTGAAACTTCTGCATCTGGTAGCACGAGGGTAGCTTTGCCCAATCTCGTACCCAGACTGGCACCGGAGCCTTGAAATGTGATTTGGCTGGCTCCGGAATCTGGCCGCGTTTCCTAGCTGGGGCCTTTGTCTTTGGATTGTCCTTTGGCGGTCCATTTCATTCCCGCAGGGGCACGGTCCAGAAGGGCCTTGTTCTTGACGATCAGGTCTTGCAATTTCGGGCTGTTCTGGAGCTCTTCCCAGTTCTTCCAGTTGTCCATCCAACTTAGCTCCAATTTGTTATCGATCACTGCCGATTCCACCGCAGTCTCCCCTCCCACCTGTACGGCGTATGGCAAAGCATCTGTTGAAACGTTGATTTTGCATTCGGTATTG